GCTGAACCTCAAATCTCGTGTAAACCCCTGAGAACCCGAGAGAATAAAATCATTCAGGTCTCTGTTTCAGATCGTCATATGACCAAATCTGATCCGTTTTTTTTTTTCTGTTTCCATTCGGAAAGATCATGAGAGATACTGCCGGAATTCCTCAAGTTCTGAAGAGGCTGGAAACATGGTCGTCATCGACTGGTTGTAAGGTCTCTTGAGTAGGGACAGTCTGATATAACGGTGTTCTTCTCCATTCCATTGCAGAAAGAACTTCCATACTGAGACCCTTTTGCAAGTTTTCTAAAGGACATTACATTACAATGTCTGGTTTCTCTTCTGAACAGCAATCATGTCGAGAATGGATTTCTTGTGTTTTTTTTTTTTTTTTTGTACTCTGAAGCAAAATTCTTGATATATATAGCCGAATGTATATATGGATAGATCATGGATGGCATGTCTGCAATGTACGAAATTGTAAAGCTGTAACCAACCAAGGTCGAAAATCAGATTGGGGTTGAGATGTGGAATACTAAAATCAGTGTGCAGAAACCAAACGGCCAAAAAAAAAATCTAAAAGCTTGGCTGTGCAGTTAAAGAGTTTCGATCCCATGACGGACTGACCCCGGACGACTTACAGGGATGGGACGGGACGGGACGGAACATCCTCTGCCATCGTATCATCAGTCACCTTGCAGGCAGTAGAGTTGCCGGATGTTTCCCGTCGCTGTCAGATGCAACAAACATGTCAATATTTCTCATCTATATGAAAACCAACCAACCCTCTATCATTGATGATCATGCATGGCGTGCCTTTGAAAAGGAAAGCTATGCCAAGAGAAAAAGGATTGTGATTTCAGTGTTATTACCATAGAGCCAGTCTTTGAAATGCACATGGAGTGCACCCGACAGTTCTCGTTTCCGGTTTTCTTCAAGAGGTGCTTCTCTCAGCGATTGCTTCGTTTCTTCCAAGTTCTTGAGCTGAAAAAACGAAATTTGAACCAGGATAGTGATTGGAAATCCTAGACAACCCAACAGGTGGAAATGTACAATGGGGAAGAAAAAAAAGAAGCTAAAAGCAAACTTACATTTCTCTGTTGTGCTACCGTGTAAGCATCCGGCAATGGAAATGGGTTGTCTTTCGTTGAACCAACCGACTCGCTCCCGAACCAATTTGGGATCTGCAGAAGAAAAAAGAAATGACAGATAGAGAGTCTGTGATGATAAACTCCACACGCGATAACATCTACAATAAGAGAAAATTACGTGCTCACAAAATTGAGGAACCTACCAAAACGTTAGTGAAATGGTCAGGGTCTACACAAGCAGCCGACTCAGCCTGTGCATCAGAAACACCTGCAGGATGTGACAATGAGTCATGTGGATCGACCGCTCCCAATGCCAATGGTTCATTCCATTTGTTGATAGTCGGCTCGATCCCCACCTCAGCTATGTGCTCCTCCAAGTGAGAATAAAATGTATTATATGGACCGACCTGGAAAAATATACCCAAGTCAATTGGATGCAAACAGTTGTAAAACAGTAACCGCTTCTAACAGGCAGCTTTATCACAGAAACATGCACATATGACAAGAGACCAAACCTAAACGATGCAAGCAAAATGTGTAGCCGTATTAAGGAAACAATTAAGGTAAAGTAACTAAGTAGTAGCACTTTTTCTAAAAAATTTAAATGTGCATCAGCGAAGAATTAATAAAAGAGTTATACATGCAGCCAAACAGGAAAAAACTTTTAAGCCAACCACCAAATTTCAGAGAGAGGCGTCACCTGTAGTTTGTGGTTATCGCCGACGATAAGGGGCCGCTGATTGACTCCCAAAAAGAATATACATTCACGGCAATTGGCGATGCAGACTCGTTTCGATGCTGCAATTATATGCACTCTCTCACAGTGCTCAACTCTTAATGCCTGCAGAAAAAAACTCAAACTAACCTCATTGAGTTCTGGCAAATGATTGAAGATATTAGTACTTGCAAAGTGCATCTTCAGACCTCCCTTCTCAAAAAAAAAAAGATACATGGGAAAATGGCTGTAGAGCAGAGACAGGAAGGAGCAAGCTTTTCATACCTTGCCAACAGCTCCTACAACTATAGTAGCGTCAGAACATCCATACACAGTTGCATATCTCAATGGAGCTAGAAGGTAAATCACAGAATCATGGCAATTGGCAACCTGCAGGACAAAGAAAACGTACCAATGACAAGCATGCACTGATATCAGATAATGGAACTTGCAAGGACTCCAACTATGAACTCTGAAGGTTTGTTGATCAAAATCCAAGGCAGCAGTTGAAAACGTACCTTCACAGATGTACCTTTAAGATCTGAGGCCTGTTTAACAAATGAAGTCTTAGAAACACCCTCTATAAGACATGGGCCTCTAGCACTAGTTAAAGCCTTATTGGCAGACGCACAAGCATCAGTCATTGCATCATCTTGCTCAGAGGCATTGGATGGTCCATTCTCTTTCCTGGAAATTCTTTCGGTGATGCTTTCTAAAGCAGAAGCTATATTTTGCAGCAGCCAATCATGCACTTGTGAAACAGGAACAGGAACTGCAGGCATATCGGGATCTGAATTCGCAAAAAATGGAGTAGCTTGGCCCAAGGGAGCTCCATCAGAGCCTTTATCACCAAACTGAACCAGAAAACCTAGGTGCTCAAAACCATCCATAGACAATACCTGGGGAAGAGATTTTGACAAGAAAGGCAAACAATAACAGATTAAACGATGAAGATATAAACACGTAGCAATAGAAAAATATTTTTATTCCCGTGTAGGATTCCACACCGAAACAGTAAATTCATTCAAGACCGAAATTAATAAAGAGAAGCACATACCAAAGATTCATCTCCTTCTCCCTCCATAGGCTCTGCAAGAAGAGAAAGAATGTTTGACAAGTGCTTTTGCAGATATGTAAGTTGATGAGCTTCTTCATCAGCCTGTGATGGCATAAAGCGGCGGCTGTTGCTGCGAACAAGCTGCAAAACAATGGAAAGGAAATGTAACTCACACTTCAATGGAAGCAAGAATCAGGCACCAAATTGTTTAGCACAAGACAAAGACGAAACACATATACATATGGAAACAAAAACAAGACAACTTGGCCACTTCTTGTAAGACATAATATACTAATCATACTGCAAACTAAGAATGTCAAAGGACTGGTGGATGATTGATAAGGTACCAGAACACATCCTGCAACTTTACCCAAGAAAACATGGTGATAACCATGGTGTGAATTGTCGGGTTCATCAGATTTCAAACATTACAGAGCAATGTCTCGATGAACATCTCACCCATTAGAAAATCATCACGTGCATTTATCAACAAACTAAATTCACCACCCAATGCAATAAACCGCTAACCTTTAGACAAATGAAACGCATCCAAGATTCTTTTGTTGCATTACGAAATTCAGGTAGAATTCAATGCAGAGAGCTAAACTATGGTCCTTGGACCTGGCAATCGAGTTACAACGGTTCCATTTCCATGACAACCAGATCGTACACAGTGATACGACCGAAAAAATCGGGCCACATTACAAAATCAAACGGGTTCGAAACGTGGAACACTCGCCTGAATTGGAGATAACGCCGATAAGTATCCGTCGAAAGCAGAAGTCGATGGCCAGACATCGGCAACCGCAGCGGAGTCCTTGTGTGTCCTCGGCAGTAACTTCTTGTATGATTGAATGTACAGGAACAAAACTAGATCGCGCAAATCAGCTCCGATTGAATCAACTTCTTCAGGTTTGGCCCGAATAAGCGGGTCGGCGTCTGAATGGAGAACCGACGCGAGGGTCTCGAGGACGAGCCGCGCATGGTCACCAGAGATCTGTAGGGCCTCAGAGAGCGCAGACGATCCGACGCGGTTGTTTGAGGCCGCGGCGGCGAGTTTCTGCCTCACCGG